GATAGGAATCGAGTAGAGTCAGGTATATTTTCACACAACTTGGTTTGATTAAAGCTAATTTTCACAACTTGTCTTCATTAAAACCATTTCCTCCTACCTATTTCTAGTCCAACCCATCATTAGCTAATCATTAATTTTATTAACATAATCATGATTATAAAATAATTATTTTTATGGTTACTAAATTATTTTCTACAAAAATAATTGATGGTTTAATCATTAATGAAATGATAAGCTACTAAATAAATTTTTTATTTTAGATAATGATAATTTTTTGTAATTAATTTAGATTAAAGTAGAATAAATAATTATTTGAAAAATATAAAATAATAAATGAGTCAATAATAACGAAAGGCTATTGTTTTTTCAAAATAATTAAAGATTAAATATTTTTACATTAAAAAACATAATCTATATATGATGGCTCTGTGTGTCACATCTTGGTCTCTTTATAACTTGTTGCAGTTGCCCTTATCTTGTAGGTTCTTTTTGTTGAAATTTTGATAATTTTGTGGTTGATACAATTGATGGGGTATTCAAATAAAAAATAGGAGACTCTATAAGGGAGATCAAATGCTGTGGAGTCATGAATATTTCATTCAAGGGCCCTCCACATTTAGATATTTCATTCAAGGGCCCTCCACATTCAAATGTGTAACCATTGTATTCAGCTACAAATAATGGTGGAACATCAAATAAAAAAGTGAGTGAGACAAATTGTTCAATATCTAGAGAGCTAAACTGGTGGGACAAGGATGATGGGAACATGCAATGTGATTGTGTAAACAGGTTAGAAGAAGAAGCGCCTTCTTAATCTTGTTCCACTTCATCTTCAACGTCATTAGGTGATTGTGCAGACAAATAGCTTCCATGTCTCCGACTTTGTCTTCTTTGAGGAATATGTGGGCGTGGCACATCTATTGCAAGAAGAGCAGGTTGAGAGGCCATTGTGAAGCATTGTTCTCTCAATGCAAGTAATATGTTGCGTTGTCTTAACAAATCCTTTTTTGTTAATTTGTTATAGGTATTTGTAAAGGGTTTTAAAGACTTAACTATAAACCTTTCATTATATATGCTTGAAATTAGTTAAAAATATTAATAAATAGGAATATTAATTGTAAAAAAATAATGATAGTGAACACTTACTACAAAACCAATTGCAGTAATTCTTGAGCCAATCCAACTTTGAGTATGTCTCCAATACCATCGCATGTACTTGGATGTATGTGTGATCTAATGGCTTGTTTGATATAGGAGACTCTATAATATCATGTTCCCATCCTTCCTCTGTATCGATGAAGTTTGAATACTCCTCAATCTAATTTGATGATGTTCTTCCCCTAAGTTGTAATGTGTGAACATTTCTCAATTTAACTAGAGGAAAAGGAATTAGTTGTTGAAGACCAAATTGTCTCATGATGTGACCAGGATAGTACCATTCTATTATGTGAAAGCATATTAAGGGACTTTAAGCCCTCCAAATTTGTAGTGTAACTAAACAATAGCTTGGAATAAAAAGTTGCACCCATTGAAAATTATATGGTTTCTAAATTATCTCATCATTATCACGGTCACCACCACTATTTATATAAAAATCATACACATCTTCATCTTTAAAATCATTCATAATATTTTCAAATGAAGTTTGTAAAGAAGATGATATATTATTATTACTAACATCAAGACAAGGATAATCAAAGGGATGGAAATTTTTTTAAGTACAAGCTAAGCCTTCTTTCTTCTTTCATTGGATCTATATGATTGTTATTTGATGAAAATAAAGATCTGATGAAGTCCTCTAGTGGTTGTGATTTAGGGAGGTCATCAACTTCTACATTTGAAATGTGTGCATATAGCTTTGATCCTATCAAATATCACAAATTTATATACCACATTTGTTCTATATCAAAATTGTTCTGCAACTTACATGCTCAGTATCTTAGTGGATTTATGGCTATTGGATATTTATATACAAGATTGGACACAATTTGATTGGAAAGAAGCTCTAGTATTTGTCTAGCATCTTGCTTTAGTAGGGCCAAAGTAATATTTACATCAATCCTCATTATTCTCATATCATCAAATTCAAATGTCACACCATCTAGATTATTGAAAATTCAATCATTTGTATATATGCACATTAGCTCTTTCTATTGTCCATTTTCCCTATATATTAAGCAAATTTTTTTATTAATCAAATCAATATCATGGCACCAAAAAATAATCTAATTCCTACACAATAAATCAAGCACCAAAGCATTTTTTAATAACATTCAAGCATCTACATTTTAACAAATGCCAATTTATTTATTTATAAAATTATAATAGTAATTTATTTTATTTCCCTCTAAAACTATGTTGATATTTTTTACCTTAATAATGATTAAAAGCTAAATCATCATTAAAAAATTAAAATTTTTTTGAAAAATAATTTTTTAAAATATTATTTCATAATTAATTAGATAAGTTTCTTGGTATATTTGAACTAATCTATTCAAATTTTTTTAAAGAAGTTACTTGTAAAAATATAGCAACTTGTTAAAAATGTCTGCATTTTTTTCACTTAGCAACTTGTTAAAAATATCTGTATTTTTTCATGGAAAAATTATATGTATATAAAATGATTGGTAATTTTTTTAGCTAGATTTACTAACCATACAGAGCATGACAAATTATTAAAATTCATATATAAATAATATTAATAAAAATACAAAATATTGGTGAATGTTACCTCCGTTCAAAAATATAAGGTATTTTTTGAAGAGTTGAATGTTAAAAAATGTAAGGCATTTTTAATCTTTCGAGGTGTAATCATTATTTTTTTAAAGTGTCCCTATTAATAAAAGCTTTATATTTATTATAGAGTATTCAATAGGGGTAAATATGAAAAGAAAGTGTTAGTTTAAAAGTAGATAATTATTTTATTAGGAGTAAGATTCGATTAAAAATGTCTTACATTTTTAAATGGAGGGAGTATCTTTTTATCATCTCTAACATGTTAAAATTTTATATTTGTTTATAGGATATAATTTCTAACAAACTATTTGGCTGTGTTGTTCTAAAATTTTGTATTGATATTTTACCAGCATCACTGATATATAATAATCTAATAATTATATACAACTTAACATCTTTGAAATGAAATCAAACGCTATGTGGTGGGTATGATCTATGAACATGTTTTTAGAATAGTAGTGTCCAGTGAAACCAATTAATATTTTAATAATATACTACCTTTTTTTTCCCCCTTTACATGAAAGCATATGAAATTATTATTACACAACTTTAATTAATAAAATATCACTTATCTCTTCCCCATAAAAAAATCACTTAGCTAGAGTTTTGATATAAATTTATCATGTAAATAAAATAACCACTAATCATACATAAAAAAATTACCAGTTTTAATCAAATTCTAAATATTAAATTTCATGATAATCAATAACATAATAGCATCAATAAAATATCACAAGGCTACAATAAGATAAATATTTACATGTATAAAAAAAATTTTAAAATACATAAAAAATTAAACATTTTTATCATAATCAAAATATTAAATTATATGATCGATGTGCTTACTTTCTTAAATCTAATGTCAAAATAATAAAGATCTTTAAGAGCTAAGGAGAGCCAAACCTAACACTTGTAAAAAAAATGGAGCAAAGGAAAAAAGAGGATGCAGATGCTGGAAGAACTCTTTTCAAAGCTTCTTAACTACATTTTAAGAAATAAGAGAAAGGGAAAAAAAAAAAAAAAGTATGCATGCTGACGGATAAGATACTACAAGAATCTGCTTAGAAACCATTAAGACTTGACACTGCACATAGCCATTGTTGAAGCGTGCTGTCACATTCCAATATAAACATTTTAAAAAAATAATAATAAAGCGAGCTTAGTGTGGCACGAATTGCTTTCAGCAAAGAACAAATTCCCTTTTTCATAACTCAGTACTATAAAGGCCGAGTAATAGAATATTTGATCAAATTGGTTTGTGATAAATCGATTTTCATTGTCAAGAATATGCTCCGTACCATTTTTGTTTGGTTTTTTTTTTTTTTTTTGGAAGCCTGAATGCTCCATGCCATTTTTACTAGAAATATTCTGACACAACGAAATAGGTTTGTTAGAAACCGAATTTGCCTTCATAATATGTAGGAAAATAATTTTCAAAGTATAGTATATGAGGAATTTCTTTTTAATTTTGAAGCATTTTGGTCAGAAACCCCAAAACAAATTGATTCGTTCTCATATTGCCAGCAAAGATAAGGTTTTTTTTTTTTTTTTTGGGACAAAACAACAAAGATAAGTTAAGTCACACCCTTTCTTTCACATCAGCCTAAACAGTCAAACAACTTTTTTTTTTTTTTTGCCATTCGATCAATAGTTAACATCATGCCGGATTAATAGACTTGGGAAGACTGGCCAGGTTTTTTGGATTAATGGGTGCTAATTTAAAGATAAGATACAGCTCCTCACTCTTAGATAATATTTTTTTTGACCATTTTTGCGCGTTAACACTTATTAAAATTATAAGCTAACAAAAATATGAAAATAAAATAATGGCTGAATTGTACTTTTATTGATTTAACTTTATATAAAATTTTAGTTTGATTTTTGAATTTAATAAAATATCTTCTTAATTCTCTAACCATTTCAATTTTAAATAATTGTTTTTTGTACAAATAATTATTGTTATTTTAAAAAATAAATTTAATATATTAACATTTAAGTATATTCTTTCAATATTTAAAAATTTAATATGAGAGAAATGTTAAATCCCATTAAAAAAGATGCCTGCCTAACCATATTTTAAACATAATTTACCTTTAACAAGTGTTAAGGTTAATTTTTTTTATTTCATTGTTCAGTGTCCTGAAAACTCAAAAATATTACCCTCTTCTACTTGGACTAATCTGCTTTGTCAGCCCATTTCAATGATCGCTTCCTGAGTATCTCAAGATATTTTTGATATCTTTATTTAGATTCAAACTTGAGAGTACATGAGAAACTAACTGTTCAACTCCACCTTTTGAACCAAACCCTCGTTTTAAAGCGGAGTTCTTAGCGGCGACGTTATCCAGACGTTTGATGTATCCACGCACAAACCCAACGTAGACGTTGAGGAAATCGTTGTCGGCGGTGCCGGATGTGAGAGAAAATCCGTGGGTAGGGCACATATTTGGTTGAGATCGACTAGGGAAAGCCAGGGTTGACGGAGAAGAGGGAATCGACGCCGGAGGTGACAGCTGTGCCATAGAAAACTCGCTGGGAGTTAGACTGCGTTCCAAGGGCGAAAAGTTTTTGCCTTCAAGGTTCGGATTCCATTAACTTAATTCTCTCTTGGCGTCCAACCTTCCAATGATTCGATTATAGTTTTTCCCCCTTTCACTATTACATGTGTGTGGAGTGAAGATTTTGGTTCAAGTTAGAGTGGACAATTTGTCGATGTTCTTCCTTGCAAATAATTCTTTTGTCTATGAAATGCTGAGATTATCTAAGCTCTTTAATATTAGGCTGACTCATACATGTTGGGGGTGGTGGGTTCCATCCCGTTAGCTTTCAAGCTGGTTTCAGTTTGCCGCTATTCCATGGATTTGGTTCGAGTGACCTAGGTCAATTCACTTTACTTACTGAGTGTCTCACATGTCACCATAGCTACCGTTCCATTTAAGTCTCAAGAGATTTTGTCATTTAACACTCATAAAGTACCAAATCTCAAACTTTTGGAGGGAACAGGTAGTGCTTTGATCGTAAGGATTATTGTTAAAGGGAAATATATATTGATAATTTTAAGTATTAATGAAATTCAATGGCTGTAATTGAGACACTTATTGAATAGACTTAGGCCACAAATCGAATTCAAATCCCTACACTCAAAAAAGAAAAATATGCATGCAACTCATCAAGCACAACTACTTAGAAAGACACCCACTCAGAAATTATTAGGAACATTAGAGATTGCCGACTTGCTTGTCTACCAGACATCCCGCATGACTTTGATATTAGAATATTAGACTATCCACCACCTAATTATATAAATCTTATGGTTTCAGACATGACTTGATTTTTGTCTGTTTGCACAATTTTTCTGTAGCCTTTGTTTAAAAAAAAAAAAAAAAGTATGCATATAAAGTTTCATTCTGTTCCACTTCTTAGGGGCAAATCCGGTACAAATGCCTCTTTATCAATCTTTTTACAGCTTCTTCTTGGGTAGTTCAATAAATGTATCTCCCTCGTCCTTCCTTGCTGGAAAAATCTCTCCTCCGTTTGAAGAAATCGCTTTGCCCTGGCTTATGCACTGTTTCTACTTTTGTGCAACCAAACGAGGCTGTTTTCCATTTCCCGTGTTAAAATTTCTCCCAATGAGAAAGGTCCTTAGATTCATTAAATTTTCTATTTCCATATTGTGATGCATTGGTTGGTCCGAAAAAAAAAAAAATATTGTGATGCATTCATCTCCATCAAAGGAGACCTTTCTGTTTATCAACTTGATGTTTGGTTCTAGACTCTAGTAGACTTGATTGCTTGTTGTTGTTCGATTCCTCAGATCTGAGTGGGAGATCTCAAAGGTGTAGTAGCATCAATGGATTCACAGGGTCAAACAACTTCATTACAGAGACTCCAGAATGTGGAGAAGGTGATATTTGAAATAATTTAGAGCATTTACGGAATGACAAATGCTCACAGTTTATTGTGAACGTGTCATTGATATTTATAATTTTGTGGTGGTAATACGTAGAGAATTGTCAAGGTTTTAGAGTTAGCAGGAGGAGTCATGGATGAGCTGGCAAGCTCGACAGGTCCTAGGAAAGATGTGGTCCAAAATCACTGCCTGGAATTCATGCAATTAATTAAGGTATTCTTCTTCTCAATGTTTGGAAATCCAATTCCCCTTTATTTTTTTGGTTTAAATTTTGTCTACAGATGTAAGGTAAAAAACTTAGCTGCAGGTTTTCTAGATCTTTGTAATCAAGTTATTCAATAACAAAATGACAAGCATTGGGCCGAAAACAATAACAAAGTGATGAGTAGAAATTTTATTTTACAGGTTAACATTGAATGATTGGGTTATTGAATAAAGTTCTTTCACACATCAAGTTTTAATTAAGAAACCTAATAAAAAATGTCTAAAAGGCTTTGCTGACATCTTTACCAAGTATCAATTCAGTATGTGTTCATCCCTGCTTCCTTCCTCCATAAAATGCTGGACACTCATTTTCAGTGAAACTGCAGCATTACCTATTAAAAACCTCTCACGTTCTAAATTAACAAAATGTGAAGATGAATGCTTAAGATGGTGAAAAGCATCACAAATAGCAGTTCATAAAATTAGTGTCTACTCATTCTCTCAATGATTTTAAATTCAGTATTTGTTCTGTTCTGTGACAGACCAGGAGACAACCAACTAGCTCAAATCCCCAGCAAAACTGCCTTTAGATAATTGGGGTGAAATTGTGTAATTGAAGATAAAACAAATGTACCATGCTCTAGTCGTGGCTTATTACAACCAATTTCAATGAAGCTCCAATCCATTTTGTTAGCTGAAGGATGCAAATTCTATGTAGTCTTGTTAACTTTTTTTTTTTTGGTCTAAAAACCTTTTAGGACATCCAGGTGGCATTGCGTGATGAAATCAGAAGTGCTTGTGAGTATCGCCCATTTGAGAAGTGCGATTATGGTTCAAGAATAGCCAGTGAGATTTGTTTCAAGAAACTAGAATATGTTATATCGCAGTTGGATGGAATGAAACAGACGATTGATGAGTATGACACAGCTGTCTGAGATCTACATAGGAGCTTTCCTCAGATGAGAACCTTTGGTTTGAAATTCATTGATTTGGGGATTTCTGTATCTAGTTATTTTAACAGCCTCATGTCCAATTATTATGGACTCTACCTCGTTCATTAATTCTTGTTTCTTGGTACAGCTATGGCATGGGACAACTTGTGGTGTTATGTCTGAATGGGATATTACCTAGCTTTATACTATAGATGGGAATTTATATAACATTGGGAGGATATTGAGGTATTATTTTTGAATGGTGTATTATTTTTGGTTACCTACAAGTACCTCTTCTATCAAAAATTTAAACCTTGGTTTGCCACGTGATGAGAGACTTGCCTTTTAGATTTAGCTCCCGTTGGTTGGATGGTGTATTATTGCATCATGAGGTTTAATTAATGTCAATTTGTAGATACCGTGTTATTCTTTCTCTACATGCATGCATGATTTCTGGTCAATTTTACTAAAACTCATTCCAGAGATAGAAAAGGAGAAGAAAATTAGGGAAAAGAAACTTAAGTTGCATTTACATAATACAGTTGGAAGGAACATTGAAGCATGTACAATTACAAGCAAATGGACAGGATATACAGATTGAGGTTTTTTTGTTTTTTTTTGGGGGGGGGGGGTGTGGGGAGGAGTGTGTATGAGCTTACATGCGGAAGAGGATAAATCAGGCATGTACAGGTATAGAGGAACTCATGGACACACAACCTTTTAAGCGTTGAATAATGACATTTTTATTGATTAAGGTTGAATAATGAGTGAGAGGTAGGCCTTCCTTGACATATTCATCATACTTCTCCAAAACAGACACAATTTCACTGAAATCTGGCCGCTTGGAGGGATTGGCCGCCCAGCAACGCTTTATCAGATGTGCGAGCGCTGGCTGACAATTTTCTGGCAGCGGTGGCCTTTGGTTCTGCCCAAAATAATTCAACCCCATGTTTCAGTAAACCAGATAGCAGCATTATCTTTAATTTCTCATTATACACAAAAGCCTGTTACCGTCTCCTTCTATTAAAAAGACTAGCTAATGGCTTGCAGGAAAAAGCCCTGTTTCTGATGCTAGGTCCTGCAATTGAGATAGAGATCTGGTGCAGAACATATGGCTATATATATTAAGAACAAAAAATTATTCAAATCATTATAATTTACCAGACAAATGGCTACAAGGCAGAAACATTCATAAAATGACTATGCTCACGACTATTTATGGCATTCATCTTGACAGTATAGAAAACCAAATTACCGCATATGTTAACTTAAACGGATAACTCAACTGTTTTAATCTATTAAGCATGATAAAGTTGAAATGTTTAATATCGTAATTGAGTTCAAACAAGGAATCAATATTAAATGAGGTAAAAGAACAAGAAGAGGAAAAGAAGAAAGCAGGGAGGGGGTGTTTAAGAATGAAAGCATATACAGGAAATCCAACATACAATTTCCACAACCTATAGTTCAATTACAACTTTAGTATATGGGTTACGATCTTTGAAACCTAACAATTTATTTTGCAAACTTCACAAAGAGAAAACATTAGATATTATAGTTCAATGACAATCATTTTTTTGTAAAAAAAAAAACATTAGATATTATAATTAAAACTAACATCTAAAGGCCACGCCACATGATTGTCGTTCTATACCTTGTTTCTTTATTATTTTTTGTTATCCCATTTGTTCAGATATTGCAAGACAATCATGTGACTTTTTGTAACTAATTTTAACCATATAACTTGTCTGACTTTTTGTAATATCATAATTTAAAGGAGTAAACTGTAACATTTTAGAGATTATAAACTAAAATTGTTATTAGGCCGCAGTTCAAGAAAGCTATGTATAGTTTACCCCTAAGAAGAAAGACATTTTGGCATAGTTATCTTACCTTGTCTGACACAGCAAAAGCAGCTTGCACAGGGGTCATTCCTTGGAAAGGAAGTAACGCGGTTGTGAGCTCCCAAAGCACAATTCCAAAACCATACACATCTACTTTACGAGTATAAGGTTTTTCCTTGATCATCTCTGGGGCCATCCAACGATACGTCCCCATGTTTCCTTTGGTTTCCCGGCACCGCGTTTCAAGACATGATGTGCCAAAATCTGCTACCTTAACCCTCATTTCATCATCGAGAAGCAAGTTAGTTGACTTGAGGTCTCTGTGCATTACACCTTGTGAATGAAGGTACTCCATACCCTTAGATATGTCAAGTGCTAGCCTTAGTATAGTTTCGGTTGAAAGAGAGTATGGCTCTTTTTTGTTCAGGTACATCCTCAGATTTCCTTGTGACATGTATTCTGTTATGATACAGTACACCGGTGGTTTTCTACAAGCTGCAATAAACTGTAAAAATAAGAGTATTTTAAGGATCAGTCCTTATTCATCCTCATACATAAAATAATTGCGTCAGATAACAACCTTCAACAGAAAGAACCCAATCTAGTTACTGGCTCTGCTAGTACCCAAAATATGACAAACAGAAAGTAAACTCCGTATAGGACATCAAGTAGATGTATTGAACATTAAGCCAAAAAAAAAAAAAAATGTAGTTGAAGTTTAGAAGTCTCTCTCTCTCTCTCTCTCTCTCTCTCAGAATTCACTGTTAGAAGAGCAAACATCAACAATCTTTGCAATTTTGACAGTCCGGTGAGCGTTATGATTGAAGGTTAGTTCAATATATTCAATACCAAACTAATTTGTGCTTTCTAGCACGTTTTTACAAGTTTGATATGTAAAGAAGAGCATAACTACAAATTTTAAAAAATCAAACTCCATGAGGAAAACGAAATAAGAAGGTCTCATAATTAGTTTCTAATTGGAATGAAAGATGGTACCTGAACAATATTAGGATGAAAAAGACGTGAAAGTAAAGCAACTTCAGATTTAAATTGCTGCTCCGGTAAAGATCTTTTTTCCTCGTCCTGAGCTGGAATTCTAACCATTTTCACAGCCACAGCTCTCTGCTTGTAAATTCCACGGTAAATCCGACTGTGAGCGCCGGAAGCAAACTTGTTTCCGATAAAAAGCTGAGAAAGATCGGCAGTCCATTCTTCCTGATCCTCCTTCAAAGCCTCCCACGTCTCAAAATTCTCAGACTCCAATATCATCGACCATGATTCCAAGCTTTCGAAATTCTTCCTTTCCAAATTCTCCGCATCACAATTCAACTGCCTCTTGGACGACGACAAAGAAGAAGAAGAAGCCGCGGGTAATAACGATTTCCCCTTCCACTTTGGTAGCCGAAGTGGATGAAAACACGACGCCGCCATCAAAGCTCGATATGAGTTATTACAAAATAGTTACAGTGATACTTACTATCAAAACATTCCGTCAAAAGGGATTTAAATTTGAATCTGAATTTTCCTTGGGATCGTAGGAAGTGATTCCGAAACATGAGGGTTTTCTTTCATGAAACTATCGAAATAGATTTGTTCAAGAGTTGAAATTAGCCAGAAACATAAACTGGAAGACCAGTACTGCAAGAGATCACACGAATCAGAGGAGAACCAAATGCATGGGAATTCGAATTGAAGGACAAGAAGAGGGAGGTTTAATCATCATAGGATCAATAAGAAGGATTAGGACTGCAAAGATGAATTTAAAGGAGGAGGACGAGGAGGAAGAAGAAGTTGCAGGTTCAGGGGAGTCTCGTGACTCGTGAGCGATAGGTTCAAAAGTGGAGGAGAGAATATGCATGTTTTGTGAATGGACTATTTACGATATGATTCAGCACTTTTTTTTTTTTTTTGAGAACAGGAACGGAGTTTAAAATAAGGTTTCAAAGGTTAAATTTTAAAAATTTATAACTTAATTTTTAAATTTTATAAAAAAATTTATATTTTATATTTTAATAATAAAAATAATTTTTTTATTTTTTAATCATGTTAAAATTTAAAAATAAGTTATAAATTTATTATAATGTTGTTATAAAATTAAAAAAGTGAGTTATAAATTTTAGAGTTTAATATTTTAGACTTAACTTAAATTATTTGATCCTTTTAAAATCTCTTTATCATTCTCTCTTTTTCCCCCTTTTCTCACAACTATATTTGTAACAAGTAATCCTATTTGATATACCATCACCCCTATCAGACTGAATGTGAGCATATTTATGCAAAAATTTGAATATTAATTTGTTCTGTTATAAACACTTGCACTAGATTTAACCTCATTTGTACTTTTTTTATTTAAAAATGTAAGATATTTTTAATTAAATTTTATCTCAATAAAGTAATTACTTACTTTTTAACTAATCCTATCTTTTTATATTTATCTCTATTAAATACTTTACAATAAATATAAAGTTATCATCAATAGAGTTTTTTTAAGAAAGGCAATGATTATACTTTAAAAAACTAAAAATGATTATACTTTAAAAACTAAAAATATCTTATATTTTTAAACATCCAACTCCTCAAAAAACATCTTACATTTTTAAACAGAGGGAGTATTTTTTTTCTTTTTCAACATCATAATTCATTAATGAAACTTATTTTAACTCTACAAAAAAATTACTTTAAAATTATTTTTTTATTATTTCACTTCTTAAATATTTTCCCAAAAATGATAGTTAAGTCTCAACTTTAAATTTATACTAGTTAGGTATATGGTAAAATTTTCTAAAAAATAAATTGTATATATTGATTTAAATAAGTACAATTTTAGAAATTTCAATTGTAGAGAAGATATTTAAATTTCAAGTGTAAATTTTAAATTGCATTTAAAATGTTTATTTATAATTATTTAAATCAATATTTGTAACTTATTTTTTAAAAAAATTATGAAAATCTAATTATAATTAATTTAATGTTTTGGGACTTAACTATCATTGTCTCTTTAGTAAATGGAAGATATTTTCTTAAAAGCATATATTTTTTAGAAAAAATAAAACTCCAAACTATATTTAATTTACATTTTTATATTTATAATTTTACTAAAAAATGCCTTGTAAAATGTAATGCAATGAGTAGATACAAAATTAAAAAACATTTATAATTTTACCAAGGTTTGAATCCTATTAAAAGAGATGTCTGTATTTAATATATAATATGTTTCAAACATGATTGCTTTTAATAAGAGAATATTTGTGAATAAAAAAAAACATATATAGACCCTCGCTAAAGTGGATGGGATTGATCTCTTTTAATATATTCAAATCTTTATGGATATAAAGAAAAGGGAAAATTTCTTATCAGAATCAAATAAGATAAAGACTAAATATAACATCATTAAAAATTGAGTAAGAAAAGTTACAAAAGAAAAATTGCAAAATAAATCTTTCACAGATTTCTTTAAGGAGTTACAAGACATGAAAGATTTTAAAA